TCTTCTTTTACAGGCAGAGGATACTGGTCATCCAGTCAAAGAGGATGTAATTCTGCCGCACAAGATGGCACAGATCCAGTTCTCTTCTCAGGATGCTCTTCATTAACCAAAGGCTGAACACTGCAAGACAGAATATTTCAAAGTAAATATTTTTTCCCTGGCAGGTGGTGACAGAATCTGAAGACTCCCCAGTCACCATGTGGGTCATTGAGCCAGGCACCAAACTTCTCTCCATCAGCTGTGCACACAGGAAAGAAGAGATAATACGTATAGTTCTCAGCTCCCTCCTACTAAAGCATATTACTGCAGCAAGCAATGAGACCATCAAGGTTTGTGCTCTGACCCAGAAGAGAGCTGATGATATAAACCCATGCCAGCTCCACACTGGTTGTCACAGGGATTTTTCTCCCTAGAGAGTTTTCCCTATACCCCTGTCTTGCCCTCAGCTCTCACCACGGCTGATGAGTCACTTGCCTCTCTGAAAAGAATCTCTTCTCATGATATTTTCAGTTACAGGGTTGTAGATTCAGTTCTGACCCTCTTTACCTTCCTCACTGTTTGGGATAGGTGCATTATTTAGCATTTCTTTATTTGCCTTTCTCCTCCCACAAGCTCAGAAAACAACATACAAACATTAGGTTAGGTCAAACTAACCGTATTTGCTTTGGGACAGGTCTGGGCCATTCACAGAGGTCACAGCTTGTACCAGCTGAAGGCAACAGAAGCAGCTGAAATCATAGCACCGGTCACGCTACAGGATCAAACATTGCTGGCAGTGGGACAGAGCTGCCACATTGTCCTGAACAACTTGTGCAAGTTTGCAGTGAGTGGGAGAGGACAAAGTGGGTGTAAACAACTGCCTGATAGAAAGCAAAGGCTTTCCTGCACTACTCACCCAGCAGCGACACTCCTGGCTTTAGGGCACAAGGCCTATTCCTTAGCTACAGTCACAGAACTGAGTTTGAACTGATCAGAAGTCAGAGGCATTCAGGTGTCAAGCTGGTAGAGAGCTGAATAGGTCATGCAGCACTAAAACCAAAGCTTTCCAGCAGAAAAGCACATTCTTCTCTGGGTGGTACTTGAAATTGTCTCTATACGTCAGCAAAGGCAGGGTTTGAAACCCACTCCTCTGCTGAACATCCTGTCACAACTGCTTAACCAAAGGAGCAATCCCCAAGCCTGGTTTAACTCCCTCACCCTCAAACAGTAAGACCTACGAGTCTCTCCAAAACTCACTTGAAAGTGGTAGGGAGCAGCTGCACCAAGAGGACACCTTGGCAGTAGATCATTGCCATGGTCTTGGACTTTTTGCTACGGCCCATTTTGTTGGAGAAATTGTGATCTGAAACACGGAATCACAGACAGAGAGTGTCTGTGATTCTATCTAGGAGAGCCTCAGCAGAAAGGGTATCATTTGCTTCAGGATGACTAATGGAGAGTTATTTATTAAATTATGGGCCATGGGACTTAAGACTGTTTTGCGTTTTACATAGTTGTACAGGTTCCAAGTTACACATTCTTTTTTTCTCATAAAAACCATTCGTCTTTATTAGACCCTAAACGCTAAATACGTCAGCATCTCAGCTCGGTCCAACATTTTTCTATTTATCTTATGTATCTTGGTTAATGAAAGTGCTTGGGAATGGGAAGAGGCTGACAGATGGTGTCTTTTTGAAATAACTTAAGCTAGGTGCTTCACACAGAAAACTTTCATCCTCCTCCTGAGATCATGACAAGTTACTGAGCAAACTGTGAGGGCTTCTCAAACACCATTTTAAGCATAATTAATGTTTGCAGAGTGCTTTGAAGATGAAAAGCAGCTGTATTGTTATTATACTGACAGAACCATATGAAAGTTGAAATATAAAATGTGGAAAATGGCAGTGTAAAATGCCAAAGGGTCACTGATCCATCCTTCTGAGGGCAAATTGAATTTTGGCCTGAATCTACTAATGTTAATGGAGCTTTTTGAGAGTACTTTGATTCATTCTAATGTTCATTCTCTAGAAATCGAACCAAGCACTCTAATAGAAGTAAGTATTTTAAAACACCTCTGTGAGTGCACATACATCCATGTATGCGTGTATTTGCATGCTGATTTTTTTTAAAGAATTCCATGAGAATTCTTTAAAAGCTTAGTATTCTCAATAGTCAACATTTCTTGCTCTTTTCTTTCATTTCCACTAATATTATGTATGGGCTGAGTTACCTTAAGAAAGTTTTAGGGAAAATAGACCTGGAGATAGTCGGAAAAATTAAAGGCTAGGCATGATCTGACATTTACTTATTTAGTCTTTCTCATTTTGAATGGGCAATATCATAGGCACTGAGTTACAGATACTGCCACTGAGAATAGCTCAATAAAGTTTAAGCCATTTATGGACAATGTAATGCCAGCTAAATAAGAAAGCCTTTAAACATTTTACAAGACTAGCTTTAAAATCAGGATACACAAACCCTTTATCTTGAGAAGGGTTCATCCCAGAAATCAGATGTTCCACTCCAGTACTCCTGTTGGAGAAATAAAAGCCCAGCAAAAATAAAAAACAAAGCCTGAACATTAAGTTGAGCCCAGGAAAAAATAAAGGAAATTGCTGAGCTGAAGTGGGAAAAATGTGGTATTCAAAGCACAACCACACTCAGTTGGAGTGGATAATTTTAGCCTAGCACTAAAAGAAAAGGAAACAAGAAAAGGCCGGAGAGTTTATAGATGCAAACGGGCAGCCCACAGGGCCATAACTGTACGTGACAAGTGGCTATGTAAAATGCAGCCCATGAACTCTCTCTGCTGACTTCATCAGCAGGGTAAGCATGCGCTCCTGGCGCACCAGGACGATGCAACCCCTGATTTCACTAGCGACCAGGAATGGGAGATGCCGGCCTCCAGGCAGGCTTTTCTCCTGCGAGCTGCAGCTCTACCCTACTCCGCGCAGACGCAGCCGAGCGTGCATACTTGTGCCTCCCCTTCGCCAAAGCCAAGCTCCTCTTGGAAGGCAGCAACTGGGAGCAACCCTCAGTCCTACAGCAGGA